TAACAATCACAACTTTCCCTCGAACTTGAAGTCCGGAATATCTTTAGAAGGCTAGTAGCATTCCGTGCTGATAATATTCAGGCCATATTACTAAACTTTTGTATTGTTTTAGTGTTGAATTTTACTTAATTTGGATTAATCCTATAGTGTTTTCAGTTTTGGACCCGTTTCTAAGCAATTGAATAAAAGAAAAAAGAAAAAAAAAGGATCGATTGGCCAATGAATGCAAGTTCGGGGACTAAGATACATTTGAATAAAAGTTGAATGACCGAAATCAAAGTAATTTATTGTAAGGACCAAGATGGAAGAAAGAATAAAGAAAACGGCTAAAAAAGAAAATTTTAGAAGTTTTATATAATTGGATACCTGCCCAGTTATATATGCCAAGAGGTCGCCCAGCCCATAACCTCAATTCCAAGGGCTACTTCATATGCTTGCGCAGCTGCCCCATGTACTACTGGGCGCCATTGAAGCCAATTTGGCCGAAAAAATAAATCTATTTCCTTCAGAATTCAATTCCAACAAGGAAACTTCCATTTGGGCGATGATATGCACGATTTTTAGAGACTTTTTGGGACTCTTTAGAGGGAATACAAATAACAATTCTCAAAACATAATTATGGTAGAAAATTAATTGCAAAATGAGGCAAAGAACACATCAAAATTGAATTAAAAAATAATAATAAATAAATAAATAAATAAATATATATATATATATATATATATATATATTTATTATTATTATTTTTTACTAAGAGAACAATGAATCTTGTAATATGAGTTTTTAATCTTTAGTTTTACATATTCGATATTGAAAATATGTTTTTGAATTTTGAATGATTCACATTATTATCTTTTTTCTACAATTATTGTTCACGATAGTTATATGAATTTGATGTTTTATTTTATACATTCGAAAGAGAAAAAATAGGGTCAACATGTTGTAAATTGTCATAAGGTGCAATGGGGAATAGAAATATACCGCTATACTCTATGAATCATTAAGTTTTTATAAAAATTCATACATTCTTGTATCTTCGCATCCATTATAGAAATATAGTCGGGTCATATATGAGAGTAGGTTTAACATTACTCAAGAGAGATTTTTGAATGAAATAATAGGAACATTGATTCCTTAAAATTCAATCGTGTTGTTAAAGTGTAGAATTAAAGTTAAAATGACTATTACTTGGAAATTCAGAATCTTAATGCGATTATCATCCATTAAAACACATTAATTTGCATTAGTTAGTTAACTTAATCACACACTAAGTCGAGTATCTAACAAGTGGAAATTTATTTTTGATGTTGTTTATCTTTCTAAAGTGTTGTTTAAATTCGAACCTGAGGTATATGATAAGCAGTTCGACATTGAATTTTTTATTGGTGATTTGCTTAGGTTAATGATACGGTTTATTCCTAAGTTTTGTGTTATTTGAGGATGAAGAAAGGTTTTAATTTGGGGGTATTTCATAAATGTATTTTTGTTCACTTATTCTGGCCATATTACTAAGTTTTTGTGTCATTTTAATATTGAATTTTATTTATTTAACTTGGACTGATCCTATCTTTTTTCAGTTTTGTACTTGTTTCTAAGCAATTGAAAATATATATATATATATATGATCAATTAGCAAATGAATGAAAGTTTGGGAACTAATATGCATTTTAATAAAAGTTGAATGCCAAAATCGAAGTAATTTAACGTGAAGGATCAAGATGAAAGGAAGGATAGAAAAAAAGGCCTAAAAGGAAAATTTTATAAGTTTTTATACCTGGGCACCCACCCAGTTATATAGGCCAAGCGGTCGCCCCGCCCTTAACCTCAATACAGGGACTATTTAGTATGCTGGGTAGCATCCATGTTAATTGATGGGCGCGTGTCCAGGCCAATTCTTCATAATTTAATTCCAAGTAGGAAACTTCAGTTTATGTGCTAATATCAGTATTTTAAATAGCGTGCCATTGGCACCCATTGGCTAAGGTGCGAAGCAAAGTTCTTTTCATGTTATTTTAACAATTCTTTTAAGTTCAAACTTATAATTATTAAATAATTTATACTTATTAAATAATTTTTTTCTTGTTTAAAATTTTAAAATAATATTAAAATAAGAAAACGCTTTTTAATTTTTTTCTCGCATTTGACTCATATCTCACATTGCCCTTAGTTTGGCATCAATGTATCGTCACGCATTATATCTTTTAGAACGTTGGCTAATATGCACGATTTTTATAGACCTTTGGGACTGTTTAGGGAGATTACAAATACCAACTCTGAAAACACAATTAGGGTGGAGAATTAATTACAAAAGAAGTGTAAAGAACATATCAAACTTCAAGACACATTAGATTGAATTCAATATATTTTGCTTTATTCTTCACAACATGTTAGGCTAGATTTTTTGTATTAGGAGAACAACGAATCTTGTAATATGAGTTTTTAATTTTTAGTTTTGCATATTCGACATTGAAAACATGCTTTTGAATGTTGAATGATTTACATGATTATCTTTTCTCTAAAATTATTGTTCGCGGTAGTTGTATGAATTTGGTGACTTATTTTATGCATTCAAGTGAGAAAAAATAGGCTCAACTTGGAATAAATTGTCATAGGGTCCGATAGGGAATACAAATATACTACTTTGCTCTATATAAATCTTTGAGAGTTCATAAAAATTTCTGCATTCTTGCATATTTACATCCGTCATAGACATATAGTCATATCTTATATGAGAGTAGATTTAATATTACTCGAGAGAGATTGTTGAATAAAATAGGAACATTGATTCTTCAAAATTCGATCGTGTTGTTAAAGTATATAACCAAGGTTAAAAATAATTACTATATTGGAATTCAGAATCCTAGTGTGATTATCATTCATTAACAAATATTGACTTGCATTTAATATACTTTGCTTTTAGCTTAGTTAATTTAGTCAAAATTACATAAGTAAACTAGTTTAGATATAATTTAGTCATGAACACATACATCACTTCATTATTGTTTTGGTTAAGGTCGTGATAATTAGAATTGAACTAAATTAATTTTCGTAGGACGATACTTGGACTCAATTTCACTTTGTTACTTATTAAGGCATACACTTACGATGATTTTAAATTGAAAGATATTTTTGTAAACACGTCTCAAAATATCCATAATATTTTGAGGAATATTTAAATGTTAATCTCAATTTGAGAAATGCAGCTGTCTGAATGTGACCAACACATTTCTATATCAATACCAAATCCAATGCATATCAAACGTGGCTCCAACAACTGAACAAAATTGATTTGTAATAATACAGCACACAACTGGCATCAAATTATAGTATTTGAAATATATCTGATTACAAAAAATCCCATTTGCATTAAAAAAATAATAAAAAAAGATTCTGGGAAATGGATTGACGACCATCAAGAAGAAAAGATGAAATGTTTTGACAATTGGGATCCTAAAGTTGTGTTACAATATAATATTAACAGCAAATTTGTTGGGTATTATTAAATAGGAGAAAAGACAATTTTAATTTATTTTTTTACTTAATGTTGTACAGGACTTGATGGGCCACTTCACCAACAAAGTATATAAGTAAAAGGTTTTGACTAGTTATTTTCTTTTTGTCCAATTTCCTATGATTATCATTGAATGCTATCTCAAAAGCATTTTAATAGGAGATAAATTTATTTTTATTTTCGTTGTCGAAATGTGCTCTGTAGTATTATGTGTCAAGTAATCACAAGAACGTTGAATATTGGATTAAAGTTTTTTATCTAGTGCGATTTTATATTGAATGATCATCGAAGCTAAATGACGAGCTAATTAATACCACAATATCTTTACTATTTCATGTCTAAAATTAAATCGGTGACAAAAATATTTGATAATTATTGTGAAAGGAGATGGGAAATAATACCAACTACAAAAAATTCCATTTTAATAAAAAAAAATGTAGTAACAAAAGATTCTGAGAAATGGACGGTTAGCCATCAACAATAAAGAATGTAGTGTTTTTGACAGAAAATATAATGCTTCAGAATATATTAAGGGAAAGTTTGTTATCTTATTGGATAGGACTTAATTGTAAAAGAAGACACGATTTTAATTAATTTTCATATTCAATGTTCAGTTTCCGATGGACTTCACCAACACATGATAAAAGCATTAGGTTTTGACTTTTCTTCTTCTTTTGGAAACGTAGTTGGTTTTGACTTGCTATTTTCTTTTTTTCAATTCCCTATAATTTATATTAAATACCATCTCATGAACATTTTGAATAATTCTATAGATTTAGGGAATTATTGACAAAAATGATACAGGTGTTGTGTTGGCATCATCTGTATAGTGCATTTTTTATGTTTCAATGAAAAACTGCCAAGTGTTTTTCTATACAAATTCTATCAATTTTTTTTTGTACTGGAACATTTTAAATTATTAACTTGAAGATAAATTTATTTATATTTGTGTTCTCACATTTAAGTTAGATTTATTTATTTTTTGTTTCTCAAATACATGATGTGTAAAATTTTCATAACTTGAGCGGTGTCAAAACTCCAATATAAGATTTTCGTCTATTGTGCTTCTACATTTAATGATTATTTATGATTAGCTAAATTTATTATAGATATCTTTATTTTGGTTAGGTATAAAATTAAAATCTATCAAACGCGAAAATTTGATGAATTGATTAATTACCGTTGGGCCAAAGAAAGTCATCATATTGCACCTACTCGTACTGCAAAGAAAATTTTGGAATTTAAAAAAAAAAAAATACCATTCTCCATTATAAAATGTTAAAAAAAAAAAAATAAATAAAATTCTCGAATTCATCCCACTACACAATTTATTGCTCCCATTAGTCCTTTTAATCCTTAAATACATTGAAAATAAAAAAACATTTTGACAAAATTAATTAATATATTTTTATTATTTTATGGTTATTTAGTTGAAATTTTGTCTTAAATCCACCACTCACCCTTGTTTTGGGAAGTTCTCGTGGTGGTCCAAAACTCCACTCTCTCTCCCCCCCTCCCTCCCTCCCTACCTCCTCCTCCTCTTCTTCTTCTTTCTCTTATCTTTCCTATTTTTCTTACACCCTAATTATAAGTTTTTTCCTTCTTATTTGATTAGTCAGAGAACCCTTCATCCCATTTTTGTTTTGCGTGCATGCTTATATAACTATGTATTGCATTCCCAAACATATGAATGAAATTTTAGAAATTTAGCTTCTGTATTGAACATCCTTCTGTGTAAAGGTATAGTAGAAGATTCTACGTGCTGTTGAGAAAAGTTGCTTTCACGCACAGCCGAACATGATGTGTACATATTATAATTGATAAAATTCCAGTCTCTCAAGGTAGATTGTCTCTTTCTGAAAGACCAATCCTTCGTGCACCTGATTTGATGCTGAAATTCTTTTCTTTTTGCTTTTTCATATTCAGAATTTTACATGGAAAAAGGTTAAACAAAATTAACAAAATTTTTTTTTTTATTAATCATTTAAGGAGTTTGCTTTTGGTATAGGCAAAGGAACATTTCTCTTACATTTCGATTTGACTGTTCTCTCCGCAAAACTGTGGCTCATATCCTTCTCTTCGATGGGAACAAAAATGATAGGGATCTACAAAGGGTTCAAATATACTTTATCTAAAATCTTTGGTAATTTCCTTACATTTGCATATTTCTTTGTCATATATATTTGGTTTTACGTCCAGTTTTAACTTGCCGCAACCATGGTCCATTCTAGTCGGCTTTGGGATGGCTTATAAAGAATGGATTTTTGGTCATTTTGGGGCTGAGATGAAAATTGGTTTTTTCTTGTAGTGGTGAAGGAGCGTGAAATGGAGATTGGATTCCCAACAGATGTTAAGCATGTGGCACACATTGGGTGGGATGGCCCCTCAAGTAGTGCACCCAGTTGGGTACGTGCGGTCCACCTATTTTCCTCAAAAATTTCAATCAAGTTTACTTTGCAGGTTCCATAATTTTTTTCTATCATTCAATGAATATTGACTCAGTCAGTGTATTTTTTTTTTTTTTTTTTTAATATCTAGATGAATGAATTCAAGACAGGCCCTGATTTTGCAGCAACTTCTATTGGTAATTCGGGTTCTGCGCTTTCTCCATGGTCATCACAAGGTTGGTTCTTGAAATCTCTATTTTTTTCGCCCTTTTTCTCCTCTCTACATTTCTTGGAAATCTTCCTTACGTTTTTATACTATAAATTAGTCTACTAGTTAAACATAGCGTTAGCAATGTGGAACGGTGATTAATATATTTGCTCTTACAATTAATCCTCCTAAAGTCATTCTATTCGATGCAAAAGCCATCAAAAAAAGGGTGTGCTCTAGTACTGATTGTTACCATTAGGATAGATAGAACTCAGCATTGCGTTTGACACGAGGGTGCCTAAGTAGTTATAAGCTCACAAGTTAAACCTTGACTTGACGACATGAGATACAGTTAGAGTCATTACAAATATCTTTTGACGACTTGCAAAGGGCTTGGTCAAGAATTCAAGAAAGGACTATATTATGTGCAAGAATTCAAGAAAGAATTATCATGTGCAATGTCCCTAATCAGACAAGTGCAAAGCTTTATCACGGCTGGCAAATTTGATTGAGGAATCATATATGCGTGTCCTATATATTGTTCTGTTGTATTTTAGACCTAATTTGTGAGGGTTTGGGTATGGTTCACAATATTCTTTTCCTCAAAGCTAGGGGGATTTTGTCTTATCCTTCACGGGATGTTTTGACATTGTAGGATCTATCTAGAATTAATGCTCCATGGAAAACGACAGATTTCTGGTGCGTAAGGCATATATTATGTGCTAGCTGGTAGACTTACATCAGTACCTTAACTGTACAACACCAGAAGTACTAGAAAACACGTTTGGTCCGCAGTACTGGACACATTAGATAGAATAATAATATAAGAATTTTATTTGTTTCTCTTTAATACTGCCATCCCCTAATTGTGTTTGTCTACTTATGAAACAGATTTTGGAGAATCTAGGCGGCTGCGATCAGGATCGGATATGTTCAGTGACATGCCCACAGAAGAGCTTCCTAGCATCCCAAAGAAGCCAAAAAGGAAGAAGTCCAAATCAACTTCTTCTCCCAAGTCGGGCTCGACCTCAAGGTCATCAAGAACAGAAAAATCGAAAGCCAAATTGGTCAAAGGCAATCACAATCCAACAAATATCGAAGTGGCATAATATATTTACAGATTTTGATACGAAACCATAAAAAGAAATTAATTCCTATGCTATTGAAGATTCTTCGGAGTCCTCTTGCAATGTTGGGTGAAGTTTGTGTATATTTTTTCCTTTTTTTGTACGTCCTTGGAGCAAGATGAGG